ATGAATAAAAAATGACAAAACTATGGAAAAATAACCCTTGAAAATGGAATATTATCCTTTCTTTGTGTAAATGTAAATTTTCATGTTATGGATGTTACTTCCAGTAAAATCCTGCACCAAAACTTTATTATAAATACTTACATATGCAGACACTTTGAAGACTGAAGAAATAATACATATTTCTTTTGTTTCAGGATTCTTTTGGACACTGAAATGAAGGGGAATAATACATACTTAATATGTACAGTAAGCACTGATTATTAGAATCCATTATTTAATAAGTACATTTTTAACCTACACACAGTGTTCTCACTCAAATTTGATCAAGTTTAAATTAATAGTTAAAACTCAACTTGTGCCAGCATGAAAAGATACGTTGACCATTGTTAGAGAATGTGGGTATTATGGTATTTTACTGAAAACTACTGAACATATCTAGTCATCCGAGTTGGTTTCACTGTTTTCAGCTACTAAATCGTACCAGCAGTATCCAGGCCAAGGTTACCCCAAAATAAGGTTGTGTTTTGAGAGCTATGGAAAGTTATTCAGCTAAACATTTTGTAAAAACATTTTCAAATATTCTTTGAGAAAAAGACCTGCTCCGTGAACTGCGTCTTGATACAGACTACAAGAAGTAGCAGCAGTACTGGTGAAGAAATGCAGACTTTAGCTCCTTTCTAATTAATATATAAATATAGTTTAGCGTCATTTTTCCTCCTCTGGAATGCTGGGTATAGGGACAGCTATGCAACTTATGATGGTATTAGTTCTGAATTTTTATATTTCTAGACGGTGTTTGTTGTGAAGAGACTGCCATTTCTTCCATCACAATTACATATAACACTAAGATATTATTGCAAAGCATCCAGGCATCTCAACATATTTTAAATTTAAGTATTTTTAAATGTGTCATTTTTCCTCAGGTCTGCTTGAAGCGATGCTTACACTTTTTCATCAGTTAGATCACGTAACTTCCATTAATTTATCTAATTGCACAGATTCCTATTTACATGAACTCACTGTGGAGCAGTTGAGCCTTATAAATTCCACACTTGTACAGTCCCGAGAAATGCATCGCTCAACACCTGCTTTGTCCCAAACAGCTTCGGTTCCCGGGAAAGGTCCCAGGACAGCCAAGTTGCCAGAGGATGCATGTCAAACACGGCCCGGTTGTACACCGCGCCAGCTCCGAGCTCTCTGTGACCACAGTCCCCTGTTACCAGTCCTTTCACAAAGCTTCTTTTTATAAAACAAACAAACCCCAAATCAACCGACATCATCTTTGTTGATTCAATCTCTCCAACCAATAAAAGAAATTGACTCCAATTAACTGATTTCATCTGCAGAGTAATGACACAGTCATGTATGAATTAAGCCTATACTGTGAAGTTGATCTTTCCTGTGGTGAGTCAGTAACGAGGCTTTCTCAGAATTTTTTGTTGCAACTCACATGTTGATATACTCAGCAGTGGATTAAGACAGCATTGCTGAAGCTGACACTGGCCCCAGTTCCATGCCCTACCACCCCTCTAGAGATTACTGCCTTCCCAGCAGGGACAGCTCAACTGGTTCATGACTCAGCTTCTGAACCACTGCAGTTTACAGACCAGCTTATTAAGATAAACTAACATGGCTGGCAGTTGATGCTGACGTACCACGCTGTACGCTGCAGCGTTCAGAAACTGTTTAACCATCTCTGCTGAAAGAGTGACAACTTTCAGAACAAGATGCAGAGGGTTAGTGGGATCAGCACTTTTGTACCATATATCAGCACCCCCAAAGCTACAGTTGTATTTAAGTTACTCCAGCTTCATATTCTTGCGTCTAAAAACAATGACTTGCAGTTTGTGGTTTCTTAATTTTTATGTTATATGTATCTAGGATACCAAAGTAAGGGGTGACAGAGAATAAAGCTTCCTATTTATTGCACTGCCTTGAGAAATTTTCCCTTTGTGGTTAGCTTCCTGAAAGTCATTTTTCAGACCAAATGTTTATTTCTAGTACTTTGGTTAATTTTTAAGTCAAAATAATATATCTGCCAAAATCAGTTGGGATTCTTCCCTTGCTGACTTGAAAGAAACCAGGAGGTTGCCTTTGACAAGCTTGTTTGCTCTATTTCTTTTTATCCCTAAAAGGTCTTAGAAAAAAACTACCTTGTCTTCTTGAAGGGATATCCCCCTTTGTTCTTTTAGATTGTTAACTTCTAAACTATTTCTTGAATATGGTAGTTTCTTCATCATTTTAATGTGCATCTATTCTCTTTTTGTGAAGAGCAAACATCCTCACCATCTCTCAATTCACTTTGGGTTCCATTTATAACCTAACCTTACTGGCAGTATTTTATTAGCCTTTCCAAATATTAAAAGAACAACTCGATGCTCTTACATAGATTCATTTATTATGGGGGAAAAAGCATGGAGATGGCAAAGAAGGGAGAAGAGAACAATGACTACAAGATCCTACAGCAGCTGTCACCATGGAGAGACACTGTCAGAAAAACAGGGATTTAAGTAGAGAAGACAAGATGTATCAACAAAGATTCACAGGTTATATTTTACCTACCATGTTTTTGTCATGTAAATGTATTCTACTACAAGGATTTTGAAATTATTTAGGTTACACAGGATGACACTTAATGCTAAAATTTTGTATGGATTCAACTAGTCACAGACTAATTACTGCTGGATTAATAACAGTCAACAAGCTGTGCATGAATTCATTAGGAAGTAATTATGACTGTTTTTACAAAAGAGCAAATGTCTGCCATTTAATAGTTGTACTGGGAATTCCCTAGCTGTGCTTGTAAAATATCTAGAGTGGTTAATTTCAAAAGATTATTGCATTCACTCATAATAAAGCAAAAGACATGAAAATGTAATAATGAAATCTCAAACCTTTTGGCACCATTTTGAACACTAGTGCCTTGGAGTTAGAACTCAGGGAAGGCTAGAAGAAAGGCTGTAAGAGAAAGAAGTGGGAAAAAGCTCTTAGGTACTCCCACCACTAGAGATGTTTGCGGAACTCTTCATGCCAAGGCTCTTTTCCATGAGAAAAACTGTTACAAGACCAACAGTGGTGGTTTATACCTCTGTAAGCATCTCATGATTAGACTAAGTTCATCTGTGGGGGTTGATTTTTTCAGTGCACATCAGGTAGCAGCTAATAATTATTGTACTATCCATTTGTTTTTCACCAAGCCTTCTGAGCCCTCAAGACATGAAAAATAAAGCTTAAGAAGAGTACAGTTTACAGAATTTTTTAATACCATGAAAAGTTAATATCACTTTACAAAGAGTAGATAGTATTCAATGCCACTGCAATCCAAGATGAAAAATCAACCAGATGGAAGATAGCAGTCTAGAAAAGAATTACAAGAATAGTTGGTTTTCAACAGGAATTTGAAGGTGAACTGTTTGGTAAATAGAATTTAAGAGACGACTACTGTCATTAGCAATTGTTTACTGAAAATAAGAGGCCAAAAGAAGTTATTTTAATTGCTTTATTTTCTGGTGTAATTTGTGCAAAAATGAAGTACGTAACACTGTGCACAGCAAGGGCTAGAAATTAGAACTTAAGTCAAGACTGTGGCATGAGTGTCCCTCTTCAGATCGGCATTGCTTATCCTTTCACCGGCTCTTTCTCTCTTAAGGAGGTGGTAACAAAACAGCAACATCATTTTGGATAAACTGGGGGCAGGGAGAAACAAGACAAAGCAGGAGACAACCGTGATTGTGAAGGAGGATAGAAAGTCTGAAATGTCAAGATCAAAAGCTTTTCTCATGGGATTGACAGAGAACTTGGTATTAAAGGAGCAGGATAAAAGATTTAGTCAAATTGTGAGTTTATTTTTCAACTGCTAGTCAGTGTTAACACCAGCTCCACTGGCAGTGAGAAACCAGCAGACATTTATAGGCATGGAACTGGAGAGAGACATGGTAGATAAATACTAAAGAACAGTTATGTCACATGAACTGAGTACATGTACTTCAAAACTTCAGAGGATAGAAAGCAAGCTGTCAACTGGAAAAAAACCCCAAACACCAGAACTCAGAGGAATAGACCTTGAAAGGTTTTGTCCTGATATTATCTAAGGGGAAGAAGTAGCACTCAAGAGAAGAATCACAGAAATATATAAAGGGCCAATAGGAAACAGGTTGAAGGCATAGAAAAAGCAAACCTTGAAAGCAGGGTTATTTTTTTGTAAGTAACAAGAACTAGGTGATGTTCTTACTGGATTTTACAGCATGAAAAGGGAAGGGAAGAGGGAAAGGTTTAAGGAGATATGAAGGTATAAAAAAGGAGCAGCTTAGAACAAAACTTGAACCTGTTCAGGAGAAAACAACTCAATAGCAAAGGGAAGCAAGAAAGTGAAGGAACTGACTGGATTTGTGCTTTGTCCTACGTCAATTCAACAACACAAGAGCAGAAACGGCTGTAGTCAATGCGGAGTCAGCTGAGGCCGAGGATCAGAGTAACAAACAGCTTGTTTCAAGTGCAGAGTGAACAATTTAAAAGAAAAGGGAGGGCAGAGCTGAAGCACTGATGGATCCTTTTATGCTGTATACTGTATTTCTGAAGAAGCCACTTGATTTCTGTCCATGTATGATATGAAAATATAAAAACTAATCACACTAATAAGAAAGCTTTGGTGATTAATCACAATATTAACATTAATAAATGCAGCAATCCAACTTCATTATCTAAAAAGTCTTCTTGGAATATTGATAATGCTCAATTTCTCTGTTTCAGTGGTTTCTCTAGAAGTATCAACTGTTCTACCACATCATTTATTTCAGATGATCCTGGGAAACAGCATATGACTAAATCAACTTGCACCCTGAAAAGTACTGACCACTAGGAAATCTGAAAGCTGCTTAGAAGTTAATGAAGTTTTGTAAGCTGCTTTGGTGAACTATTACAAGAAACTCCAAAAAAATAGCTGATTTTTTTTAATATAACTCTGTCATGTTAACACCCACATTCTAGCTCCCTTAGCTTTACGCTGCAAGTGTATTTGTGGAATTAAGAATGCCCAGATCCAACTGTATTTAAATATATATATAGATATATATATATGTGATAGATGTATATAAACCAGGACAATATATATATATACCCACGCAGAACTAAAAATTTCCATATTCAGTAAAGTACTTCAATTTTTAGATCCTAGGCAAAAAGCAGCTTGAAAGTAGTCTAAGACTATATATCCAAGACTTAGTTGTTGATATTTTATCAATGAGAGTTGGAACATATTCTGGTTCCAGGAACATATTCTGGTTCCAGTACCATACTGTGTTTTCAGTAGAGGATTACAGAAAAAAAAATGTTTACAATGGGAGTGAATTATAAAACATTGATGTCCATATATGTAATATTAAAAAGTTTTTATGTGGAACAGATGCCATTAAAATTGTATATATTTTGCCATTGAACTACTACCATTGCTACTTCATATTTTGACAACTGAACACAAATAAGCTTCCAGATTGATTAAATAACAGCCCCATTTTTGAAGCTGCAATGCACAATAAATTTACACAAATCAACAGAAAGTATCTATGGACAGCACATACATATACCATTGTATAAAACAGAAAACATTTACCTCACCAAGTCTTTATATAAAGCTTTTGTAGTTTCCAAGTATGGGCCAACTACATCTTCAAACTGGCAAAGAGTTCCTCCAATGCAAAGATGCTTAAAAAGACAGAACAGGAATTCCTTGCGATCCAATTGACTGAATAGGTCATAGTGGTCTGAATCTTCCAGAAGCAAGACCTTGTGGAATAAGAAAATAACAAAGAAGTCAAACAGACAAAAATTTCTTATCTGAGATTGAGATTTTAAACAATGCAACTACTTTGCTGTATGTCACACCGAGTTTACAACCATAGAAAATATACAAAGTAGGGATGGAAATAAATACGTACTTCTTTCTAAATTGCAATGATACAATTATGTTCAAAATGTACAGATACAATATAAAGCAGAACCACCATCAGATTTGTGTCCACAAGACATAAGGGAAGATTTTTCAAGAGTCTTGTTATTCACTGGTTAATTGACCATCATGCTAATGAAACAATCAATAATCTGAAAATAATCTAACTATATTGGGTATGTCAATCACTGCCAATTAGTTTGCCTTTGGTAACTTTGCCTGCATTCACTGTGAGGGTGGTCAGACACTGGAACAGATTGCCCAAGGAAATTGTAGATGCCCCCTCCCTGGAAGTGTTCAAGGCCAGGCTGGATGAGGCTTTGAGCAACCTGGTCTAGTGGAAGGTGTCCCTGCTGATGGCAGGGGGGTTGGAACTAGATGATCTTTAAGGTCCCTTCCAACCCAAACCATTCTATGATTCTATGATTTGCTTTTTACTCTAAGTTTACGCAGTTATCTCACATTTGTCAAGGAATCCCAAGGATCTCCCAGAGGACATCCCTCAAACTCACACCATTCCTCACTGCAGACTGCAGCAAGCCTTTATCTGTAGCCTGGATAAACCAGACATGCTATCCAGCTGCCTCCATGCATCTCGCCTGGCTTTTGCTGCAGTACCATGTACACACAGAGGACTTGCTGGATTAGTCCCAACACTGCCCACTGTAACAGCGGACAGGAACTGTAACTCCGTATGGCAACAAGATGTTTGAGTCACATCAGCCAAGCTGCAGATGCCAACCCAGGTAAACTGGCAAAAGCTAGACATGAGCTTACCGCTCTCTGGCCCTCTTGATATCATCACTACGGAATGTGAGGGAAAAAGGGTCTGGGTCTGGGCAACAACTGTGGTTGATGGCCACCTCATACAAATCCCAATTCCCTTCTTGGCTGAAGCAAGAGAAGACGTGGCAGGTAGGAAGGAAACATGGAGTTTTGCAGCTGAGGACCACCCTCTGACACCAGGCAACAGAAAGCTTGCTGGCCCCTAGTCTACTGTCCCAGGGTGCTAACAAATTTACTCTGAAGCTTTGACGTCGTTCCTGGAAGGTTTTGACTCTTAATGCTTTCTGCCATCTTCGGTCTTACAAGTAAGAATCACATTCACCTCAAATAAATGTGAATTCTTCAACTTGCAAATGCAGACACACACATCTCTTCCAAGGGAAGGGAAATGGAAAGAGACTGAAACTCCAATGATTTCTTATTTCACATGTTGCCTCTAACTTTCCTACATCCAATATATTTAATTTTCAGAAAACATTTCACATGTACCCAACTTATAAATAAATACATAGTATTTTGAACTGCTAGGCTACAAATCACATCTGAAATTCAAACATGAGCTTGAGTTCTCTCCTTTTCCCAGAACTTTACAAGACAGACCAGTATTTCAGGCCATATCCTGTAACCAGTGTCACTGGTTCAAATACATTGCCTTCAAAGGATTTGCCAAGTGCAAATGAGTGCAACTCTATAATTATTAAGTACTTATGATGATTATATATACAAGGAAGAGCAAAATCCAGTTCTCCCACACTGCACTTTGCTAATACTAAACAAACATAAGTAAAAATAATTGTTTTAGCTTATGAAGTCAAAAGCAACACTGACAGTGAAGACATATGTTGATTAAGAAGGTGCCACTGTTAGACAGATTCTTTTTCAGAATAATCTGCTCTCTAACACCTCCACTGGAGTATAACAAACAGTTTTTACCTTGCAGGCCTGTCCAGGAGTTATATTTAGTCCTTTTCCAGTGTTACACTGAAAAATAATTTCCCTTTTCATAGTTTCTTCTCCTTTGTTTCAGTGAAAATATATAAAGATGCCATTCCTTAAATGCCTTCATATATGATACGGACAGCATTCCTGGCCAAGAATGCTTCAGGATGTAGCTATTGAGTCCATTCAGTTTCTTCAACTACCTGGAAGGCTGGGTGAACCCAGAGCTCTGGGTATCGTGAGACCTTTCCATTAGCACCACTTGTTTTCCCCTCCTAGGCAAATGAGTAGCTGCATCTCCTCCCCCCACCCAAGCACTGACTACTTGAGACAAGGGGGGGTAGAAGAAGGTTTTACCTTCTTCTCTCACCTAAAAAGGACAGAGGGTCCACCTGGAAAACAGCCATTGCTTTCACACATTCAGGCACTGCAGTGCCTCAGACGGTTCTATCACATGGCTATCAATACCCATTTTTACCATGGAAAGTAGATATTATCAGGGAAAAGAACTACTGAAAAATCTGTCCTTACAGTACCTAATAGAGTATGAAAAATTACAAGAAATTATATTATTATTATTATTATTACTTGTTGTTATACTTACCTTCCTTAATTCATCAGAGATGAGAATATCATCGTAATAGTCATCATAACATTTCACAATATCTCCAGTTTCTCTAACAACTCCTTCAGAGTATAGCCGATCAAAAAATGACATGGAAATCTGTGTACAGGGCACCACTGTCGCTTCAATTTTTGTCACTTTGGAACCTGAAATATATAGGAAAGCTTCTCTACAAGTCTCTTGCAATAAATAAAATAGGAGAATTTCCATGTACTAATGGTTTTACAGTAATTCATAATTCAATACAGCATGGAAATAATCAGCTCCTCTTAATGGTTGTGTGTGGTATATTTAAAAAATAGTAAGTCACGTAAGTATGACTCAATCACAGTCTCGCAAGAAACCAAGAAAGTTAAGAAAGAAACAAGCGTAAATAAAACATTGAATTCATCTGAATGCTGCCTTCCACTACAGCTCATGTATCTGCTCCCCCTGTTGGCAATACAATATCAACCAAAACAAGTAATAGATGAAACACCTTGTGAACTCAACAGCACATTAGATCACACCCTTAGAAAATCTCATTCCACAGCTTAAGCCTTAAAGAATCTGAGGACAAACACTAAATTTGGCATGATGAAATACAAAAGTCAATAGCTGCTAACAGCACCCCACAAAGTAAAAAACAAAATGAACACAGCCCTGATAAGTTTTTCGTTTGCTAAGTATTATATCTGAACTTTTGGGAAAGTTATTCTGTAGCTGCTGTAAACTTTACTAAACAGCTGCTTCAGAAGATGAAAAAAGTACTATCAGCACTTCCTGTCTGATTTGGGAGCATTATCTGTGTCATCATTAAGTGCAGAATACTTTTTCCTACAAATTTTCTGGTTTCTATGTTTGCAAGTCGTCCAAGGCTTGATCCTGTTGCTCATAGATATCTAGTGCCATTTGAGATGCCCTACAGTATTTTCCTTAATGAGGCATCAGTCCATAAGGCAACATATCATCTCTCTATATAATATTACATCTATAAATCTATATACATGGTGTTGGATAACTTATGGCATCTCAAATAGCATTAGACTCCATCTAATCTCCAAGTCCCCCTGAACACCCTTCAAAGTGCTTCTGAAGAGGAGCGGGGAGGAGAGCACGAGTGAGCATGCAACACAGGGGCAATGTGTCTGGGCAGAGGAAATATTCACAGCATTCCAGCTGTCCATGAGTTTACTCTTATCTTTTCTCCTCTGTACGTTCCCTTGATGGGAGACTCGTCAACAACATCACAATATCAAAAGGCTTTTGACTGTACAATTAAAGGTAAAATTAAAGGACCACTAAAGACTAGTACTTAGTAAATATCTAAATTTCACTCTAGATGACAGTATTTCAAGGAACAGAAACATGCCAAAAAGGGACGTGTGAACCACGATGCCTCCAAGAGCACCTATCATTTCATTTTCATCCCAGACTCTGCAAGCGTAGCACAACCTAAAATTTCTCTTGCCCCCACACTTCCAAAAAGTCCTCGGGATTTCTCCCATATATTATTACACGGAAACTATTTATTCATAGGTGAAGTAGGACTGATGATACAAAACTGACCTGGACAGGCTGGAGAGTTGGGCAGAGAGAAACCAAATGAAATTCAATAAGGGCAAGTACTGCATCTGGGGAAGAACAACCCCAT